GGGGGGGGGGGGGACTCTGCCTCAAGGACCCCGGGGGCCCTGCCGCCCCACCAGGGGCCGCCCTCAGCTGACCGGGCCTTTCTTCCGTAGCGCCCGGCACTGACTGGCCTGACCCTTCGGCTGCTCCGCGGAGCACAGGGTGTGGAGGCTGACTGGGTGCGACTGGGGCTCAGCACTTGACAGCTCCGAAGCATCTCCCAGAGTCACTTGTGTTCCCATGCTGTTCTTTGCTTTCAGGCCACCCTGGTTTTTCAGTACGTCCTCCCCAAACTAGGCTGTAAGTTCCAAAGGGGGTGGATGGAAGGTCTCGAAACCTTTCCGTCCCCTCGACAAAGCAGGGGACCGGCTGTTTCGCCTGCTGGAGGGAGTGCGGTCAGCAGATAACAGATCCTCGTATGAGCAGGCTGTCACCTCGCTCTTGCTTAAAACCCGGCGGCGCCCGTCGACCAGCCCCGCCCCGCCTGGCTCTGCCACGGAGTGACGGCTCCGGAGTGGCTGACAGCAGGATGTGAACCTGACGGGAGAGATTTCCCAGTACTTACTGACTGGGAGTCCTTCGTCCGAGTGCAGCAGAGGAACACTTTGAGCCGGCGCGACCAGCTGGTGGCCTGACCCTCCTCTAAGCGGTGCCTGCAGAGGGGGAGAGTTGGTATGTGTGAGGTCAGGGGATGGGACCGGAAGAGCCTAGGTCCAGATGGGATGGAAACAGGGCAGCCTGTTCCCAGGATCGCAGCAAAGGGCTCCCCGGCAGGAGGTCTAGGAGAGAACAGGCCTGGGCCTGGGGGCTTCAGAGGTGGGAGCCCAAACTGGGGACTGCTCGGGTATCCAACGGTGCAAACTATGAGCCCAGGGAGACAACAGCAGGGTGCTGGGCCTCTCAGCCAAGTCACTGTGAAACCCGGAGCAGACCTGTTGGACAGACTTACTTCCCCTTGGAAAGGATTTCCCTCCCTGTATTTGGGGGGAGTTTAAGGGCCAGATGAGGCTCTGTATTTCTCAACGCCTTGGCTCTGTTACATAAGAGGGGACAAGGGCCCCCACCTTTCATCTGCATGGCTGGTGCCTGTCTATTCCCGCCACCACCCCCCCGTCCCAATGTGTCTAGCTGCTCTGATGGGGAGTCAGGGTATCCAGGAGTCTGTACCCAAAGGCAGAGCAACTGGCCAATTATCCACTGGGCCCCTTCCAATTTCTGGGTGCCCAGAAATCGGGGTGTTTTGAGTGTGAATTTAAGAGCACGGACATTAAATATGTCAGTTTCAAGATTGAGCAAGACAGGGCTGGTTTGCTTTTGTGACGTGTGCCCTCCCCCTCCCTCCAGCCCCTTCAGATCCTGATGCTTGGTGGTTAACAGGGGTGGCCCCGAATGGCTGCAAGGCTCTTAGTGTCCATCAGGAGTGACAGGCCAGGCCCTCCTTGCCAAGCCTGTTGGCTCCTCTCTGCAGCTAGGGGCTGCTTCCTGCAGCCCTGGCTCCATAAGGCAGTGGGCCACAAGGAACAGGGAAAGCCACAGAGCTTTCTAGGGCTAGAGGAGGGGGTTAGGAAAGGGCGCGAAGGATAGAAGGGAATTGCCGCTTCTGGGATCTACCAGCTCTTAAGGGACCTGGGCAGCCTTACGTCATAAACCAACGTCCCACCTGCCAGGGGCTTGATGAAGGGACAGCATGCTGGCAAGCTGGGTTCCCAGAGCATCACATTCTTTAACTCTTTCTAATCTAATGGGCTTTTAAAGAGTATTTCCTGTTGGGCCTCTGGTTGACGGAAAGTGCTGACTATACACTTGACTGCACTACCCCTTAGGTCCACCAGGTGGCAGATGGAGCCAGTGACGGGTTTGGCCTCCTGCATCAGTTAGGCTACTGGAGACCCACACCGGCAGAGAGACACTGAATCTGGATAGAAAGTTCATGGACCCAGCACCCCTCTGCCCCGGGGCTCACTAAAGTGAAGGGAGGGAAGACACCCCTGCAAAGATCCAAGGTCAAGGCTCCCAGGGAATAGCGCTGGGAATAATCTATCTCCCAACCCCTACGAGATTTCACTGGAAGGAGAGAGGGCCCGGGACTTAAACAGCTTCCTGACTTCCAGATGCTAAAATAACCTGTCAGTGTCGTTCTCCTGGAAGTGGAGAAAGGGCAGGCAGGCTTGAAAATGTCCTTGTTAAAAAAACTGTTGGCTTTCAGAGCTGAGGGAGGGCCAGCGGAGACCAGCCCGAGTGAGAGGTGGTCATATTAACCAAGCTGCAGCCTAGGCTGCCCTCCCGACCCCTGCGGAGAGCTGGAGAAGACGCAACAGGTCGGAGCCCCAGCTCTGAGGCCTCTTGCCCCCACAGGGCCAGAAACTACAGGAAAACTTTCTAATTAAACCGACAGCCCCCAACTGCAAAGGCGTTGGCTTCCCTGGGCCCCCAGGGCAATTACCCAGAATCAGAGAGGGGAGATTTTTTTTTTCCCAGGGCCCCAGGAGCCCAGAAACCAGGTCGGGTGGGGGCATGGGCTCTGAGCGTGAAAATGGGACGGGGTGGTGGTGGCCCACTGCACCGCCAGGGAAAACGGGCTCCAGGGCCTTGGCTCCGGGACCTGGTATTTTGGGCTGGGAGGTGGCCAGCCCAGGCGCGGGTGTGGCTCTGGCCGTTGAGCCGAGCTGAGCTGACGTGGAGGGCCTGAGGGGAGCCCAGAGCGGAGGCGCAGGAGGGCGGGGTGGGGAGAGTTCCTGGGGGACCCGCGGCCCTGGCTGAGGGCTCCTGATCCCCTGCCCTGGAGACGGAGTCGCCACGACCACTCTCATCAGCATGACCTGTGGCAAGTGACCTGCCCTCTCTGGGACTAACTCCTCCTCATCGATAGAATGGGTCTCCTAACAGCACCAGGTTGGAGAATGAGCCAGTGGACTGATGGTGCAAAAGGGGGTCCTCATAGAGCCTGGGTCATAGTAGAGTCACCACGGGGCACCCTGGAAGCCCCCCTCCCCTCTCTTTTTCTTTCAAGAAACAGGAATCACTGTGACCCTCGATTCCCTCCCTCATTTTCTCTAACATGGCACAGCTTTCCCCTTTCTTTTAAAGGCTGTGCAAAACTTACCTCCTCCAGGAAGCCTTCCTTGGTTAACCTTCTCTAGGTCCCTTAATCGTAGAGGCAGCCTAGCCAGGTGGTTAGGAGCAAGGGCCCTAAAGCCACATCTCCTAAAGCTTGAGCCTAGCTCCATCATATCCTGGCTGTGTCACTCAGGCAAGTCACATAACTTCTGTGTCCTAGCTCTGTCTGCGTCATAGGGGTGACCTCACAGAGCTGCCGTCAGTTAGCACACGTGATGCTTGGCTTGGGTTATGTGTGCTTCGTGCTATTATGACCCTTGTGATTAGCAGCACTGAAGATGGGGGCACCTGGGCGGCTCGGTCATTTAAGTGAGCTTAAGTCGTTTCAATGTCTGGCTCTCAGCTTTGGCTCAGGTCACGGTAGCACAGTTCGTGAGCTCCAGCCCTGCATCGGGCTCTTGAGCCCTATGTGGGGCCTGCTTGGGCTTCTCTCTCTCCCTCTCTCTGCCCCACCCCTGCACGCATGCACATTCTTGTGCTCTCTCAAAATAAATGAAAACAGAAACAAGAAAAACAAACAAGCACTGAAAACGAAGGCAATGGTAACAACGGTCCCGTTTACCGAGCACGTACCAAGCGTGTGAGCACAGCATTAACCACTTCCCGCTTATTTTATTTAAATCTCACAGCAGCCGTCAGAGGCAGGAGCTGTCATTATTCCCGCTTAACAGACCAAGAAACTGAGGCAGGGAGACGCTAAGACTTTGGCCAATGCCTGTGGCTCACACAGGCGGAGCTGCGGTTTGGGCGGCTCGGGGCCGGCTGTGCCCGCCTGTCCGCGCACCTGCTAGGGGGCCGCCCGCCCGCCCAGCCAACTGACCGGAGGTTGTAGGTCCGGAGGTTGCGCTGCCGCCTCTTGGTGGCTCTTAGCTTGACAAAGGTGCGGCCCGTGGGGTCGAAGACACAGAGGACGGTGATGCAGACGCTGAGGATGACCACCCAGTTGCAGACGACCATCCCTACGGGGTGGCGGTGGGAAACAAGGTGGGGAGGTGCTGGGGGGGACCTCCCTGGCTCGCCAGCTCTGGGGAAAGGGGCGCCGGAGCCTCCCTGTCACCGCCAGGCTCAGAAGCCCCTGGCCCCGGCCTCTGGTCACCTGGTTGTCCCCGTGCCCCCCGAGTCCCCCTGAGCCATGACCCCAAGGCCCACCCTTGGTTCAGAGCGGCCAGCTCTGTGGGTTTCCGGTGAGGCTGCGCCCCCCCGCCCCCCCGCACACAACAGGTTCCTCTGAGGCGGGATGGCAGACCGCAGGATAAAGGCCACCGCCATCCTGCCCAGTGTCCTCACGGAAACCCTTTGCCCTGGGAGGTGCCTGAGCTTCCTCTTCTCTAAGCTGACCCTGTCCCTTCCAACCCCCGGGGCGGGGGGGCTGGCTTACATACCGAGGGTGACGTTCTTGGCAGTGAGGTCGTTGCAGGAGGTGTAGTACTGAGTGAGCCAGACGATGCCCACGATGGCATAGATGAACTCGATCACCAGGATGGCTACAAGGAGAGCAGGGTGCTGGCTGAAGGATGGCCAGGGTGGGCCTGCCAGGGAAGGGCCCCGGAACCTCCGCCCGGTCCCTCCTGCGGCAGGGCCACCAGCCTCGTGGCAGAGAGGGCCCACGGGGCACGGCGGTCCCGCTGCCGTTCTGTCCTGCCACAGCGTGCCCACCACCTGTTCCAGCTTAAATGCCCAAGGGCCCCTGAGGTTCCCCCTCAGAGGGTGATCCCCCTGGAAAGGCGGAGGATGAAGTGGCATTTCTCTGTTCTTTCAGGATTTTAGAATTATGCCTGTGAACTCCGGTATCAGGCATATCTTGGGCAAGTTACCTAATTCCCTGGGCCTCCGTTTCCTCATCTGTAAAATGGAGTGATGACGTCTGCGTTACAGGACTGTGGAGAATTAGATGGGAGAGGGTTCACTCACAGAGACTGCTATTTCCCCAGGAGGAGGCTCCGGCACTTGGGGAGGGAGGAAGGAGGAACCCCAGCAGGCCATGTGGCTGCCCAGGCCGGGGGGTGTGGGGACGCGGGGCAGCGTTAGAGACCCCGGCTCCACAGGCAGCACCTGCGGCAGCTCAGACTCCAGACTTTGGAGACAAACAACCTGGGTTCAAACCCCAGCTGTGACACACACACACACACTAGCCGTGTGACCTTGAAGGGAGCTAATTAACCTCCCTGGGCCCCAGATTCCTCATCTGTAAAATGAGACCAAAAATGGCTCCTCCCTCACTTAGCAAGGGGAAGGGCTTAGTGCAGTTCACAGAAGCCCCAGAGAAGCGTTCACGAGGAAAGACCGGGAACAGCAGCTGGAACCGAAGCCCAGAAAGAGAACACAGGCCGGCCCCCCAGGGAGCGAATCTGGGCCCCGGAGAGGCTTCTGGGGAAGGGGAGCGCTGCCTGGGGGAGGATTTCAAAGCAGCTGAAGAGACGCACTTGGCCTAGAACAGGGGCCAAAGAACTTTTTCTGTCAGGGCCAGAGTAAGTATCTTACACTTGTGGGTCCTATTCTCGGTCATGACCACTCAGCTCCGCTAGAGTCATGCAAAAGCAGCCATAGGGAGTGAGCACGTAAACGAATGAGTGTGGCTGGGTTCCAATAAAACTATTTACAAAAACAGACGGCAGGCTGGATGTGGCCCTCAGGCCACCGTCCGCCCACCCCTGGTCCAGAACGTAAGCCCAGTAAGCCTGCTGGCTCGCCGCTGGACCCTGGTGCTGGCCCAGGGCCTGGCCCATCGCGTGTGCCCACCAGATGTTGGCTGGATGAATGATGGAGCGCGAGAGGAGGGTGGAGGTGGGGGTGGTCCGGAGCCGCCCCCACCCGAGGCAGGTGGCCCTTACCCAGGCGCACGTAGAGCACGTACTGCATGGATTCGCGGGGCTCTGTGTAGAGGATGCCCCCGCGCATGCTCAGCCAGATGATGGCCATCTCGGCGATCATGCAGCTCAGGAGGATGCCTAGGTAGCCGCGGCCGTGGTCCACCAGGTTCAGGGAGCAGGCCTCGTTGGGGTTGTAGACCAGGCCGAAGAGCACCACAGACAGGATCACAAACCTGGGGAAATGCGCACGTGAGAGGGGCCAGGCCGTGCGGGCACCTCCCGAGCTCCCTGGCCAGCCAGGACTCAGCGGCTGGAGCGCTTCACGGCTTCAGGCTCAGGAGCACCGTCCTCCTGCTATCTAGTGCCTCTGAGGACACGGGCGGCCGGGAACAGGGAGGCGAGAGCAGGGAGCCCAGCCGCCAGCTGCGGGGGGACAGCAGCGGCGGCCCTGCCCAGTCACAGGGCCAGGGCCAGTGGTGGCCAGGCAAGGCCTCTGGGCACCACGTGGGTATGTCCCTAGGTGGTGGGGGTTCCAGACACCAACTCCTAGGAGCTGGGAGCATGACAGGGGCAGCACGGATGGCCAGAAGGCCTTCTTCCAGGCCTGTGGCATGGCCCCAAGACTCACCAGGTGGTGTGCAGGAGGAAGAGGAAGATGGCCGGCAGGACGAGGTCATCACTGCCCACAGACCAGCGCCGCCGGAACACCACGATCCCGGGCATGGCTGGAGGCTCTGCAGAGGCTCAGCGGGCCTGGTGCTCACCTCCTGCAAGACAGCAGAGGACCCTGTGGCTGCCTGGGCTGCTGTGGCATACTCCTCGGCCAGGCGTGGCCGGCACGCGAGCATCCCTCCCAGGCCCCACGGCCCACGGGCTTCCAGGCCATCGGAAATGCTGATCCATCCCGGGGCAGGACCTACCTCCAGCCCTATCCACACCCCCAGAGCCAATATAAAGGACCTCAGCAGCTAGACGCTGGCTTTGGCCTTATGCCTGAGGACTCTCCTGTCCCCGAGGCTGGAGCTGGCCCTTCGGGACCGGCTCTCCCTGGGGTCACCGCAACAGTAACTTCCCAGTTCCGTTAAAGACCTGGGCTCACCCCCTGCCTCTCCCTACGTGGGATCAGGGAAGCCCCCAGCTCCCCTGTTGCCCTTTTTCCAGATCTGGCCAGTGCGTGCAGTCCTTGGGGTGGGATGGGGGCTTCTCAGCCCAAAACAAACAAGCAGAAGGCTGAAGACCTTGGGGAAGGTGGGGGTAAGGGCGTACATGGGCCGAGCGTAAAGGCGGGAGGGCGCCCAGCACGCAGTAGGTGCTCAGCAAGGAGCTGTTGAATGAGCTCTTCAGTTTCTTGCTTTGCTGGACCCCTGGGAGTGTGCTCTGTGACTTGATTTTACACTCATCAGGCAGAATGCCCAACCACAGCTATGCCCCTTGGTAGGGAGGGGCATAGTTGGGATCCGGGGTCAGGAGCATGATGGGGGCCATCCAGCCCCTCTACTCGAAGGGTAGTGACTGGGCCCTGCAGGGCACCCCATCCTGGCAGCCACACCTTCCATGCCCACGCTGAGCCGCACAACCTTTGCTGCCCAGTTCAAAACTCTCCGAAGCCACTGAGTTCAAATCCGACACAGGCAAGCTCAGGGAGGAGTGCCCAGGAATCCAGGGACCCCCACTCCCTAGAGCCCCAGGAGCAAGGGTAGTGCTGCGGGCCAGGAGGCTCCCCACAGGGGGGTCGTTCGGGGAGATGCTGGTGAGGGGCTCTAGGGTAGCCCTGTGCTGAACTGTGCAGAGGACTCCCTGCCGTAGGGGGGGTGGGCGCCCCCGCTGGTGGGCACCTGCCCCCAGGCCCAGAGGCTTACATGGCACCTGGTCCAGAGGCGGGCGGCAAGTCCTCCTCCTCTCCCCGGTGACGGCTCCGGGGAAAGCGAGTGTCCTCGGAGACCAGCATCACTCGGGAAGCAAGTGACCAGGTATCCCCCGGCCGGTGGGCACGGCCCTCAGGCTGGATGAGGGGACATGGGGCCGGGGGGCCGGCCGGCATGTCCAAGCCAGCCCGTCTCTCTCTCCCCCTGGTGCAGCCACTTCAGCCGCTGCCAGGCTGTTCCCCGCGAGCTGGCGGCCCGGCGGGCGGGCGGGCTAGCCTGTCGGGGTCGTGCCTACTCCTCCCCCCTCAGGAAGTGACATCATCCCACTCTCTCCAAGGAGGAGTCAGAGCGCGGATTCTGGGAAGTGGGGAGAAGGATGAAGAGCCCGGGAGCCGCGTGGTGGGGTGGGGTGGCCGGGGGTGGAGGGCCGGGGCTCCAGCCGGTGGGTCCCAGGAGGGGCTGGGGCCGGCCAGCGCTGCCAACAGCTGGTGTTTCAGCTGCGGGTCTCCCCAGCCCCTCCCGTCTCCAGGTGGCGCAGGGGGCCAGCTGGGTCCCAGCAGGTGCTGCAGTTCCCATCCCCTCTAAGCGCTACTCGGCCCAGACCCCTGCGGTGGCGGGAGGAAGGGGTGTGCCGTCCTAGGGGGGCTGGAGGGTCCTGCCTCTGCCAGCCACCCACCCATCCTGTTCTCGGCGGGGGGGGGCCCTGCAGAGGGCCCTCCCCGATCCCCCAAGGGGCATCCCCACCCTTCACCTCTAGGAGTCTAGACCGGCTGCCACTCCTTCACCTCACACCTGCGAACTCACACGCGACCTGCGTGTGTGCGCACAGCCCTGCCCTCCC